GATCTAAAGTTGTTCCAAGTGAACTTGTACAATACTGTAATATTAAGTTAAAGCATTAAGTTTTTAAAAAAAAAAAAAAAAGTAAAACATGCTTTGTACATAAGAAGTCAGTATACCTGAGAGATTTCTTGAGTCCCTATGCTAGATTATAACAAGAAAAATAACAAGGGTGCTACTGAGAGTTACAGTCATGCAGGAAATAAATTCTAGAAATTTGTCACATATAAATGTGATTCTATATAATAGTTTTATCAAATATGGTTTTTAACCGTCTTTTTTTGTCAACATAGTCTTGATTCTTTTGTACAGTTGGACCAGATTTACAGAATTTTAGAACATGTTATGTATGGTCCCAATTGTGGAAAAATGATGCATTCTACTTCCAAAATGTCTAACTTTCAGACGCTGTTCACTGGCTAGTAGTTTTTTTCTGCAGGTCCCCTTTGGCCTTCTATTTGTTCACTTTCCTCTATTGTTTTAAAACATTGCGCACTGATAAAACATGCCAAAACATGATAAACCCTACAATTATGAACAGAGGAATTGAGATCTTCTGTAAATTACAATTTTCTTTACGTAAGCTATTTTATGTATACATATTTTTGTTTTTCTTTCTTGCTCTCATTTAAAAACCAAATGCAAATATGCAAGGATCAAAAGCAATTTGTTCTGTTTTAATCAAACTAAATTATGCACCTTTCTGTTTCCTAAGTGCACCTGCCTGAGTCAACCTGTGTTGTCTCCCTTTTTCGCATGCTGTTATTTGTTTCAGCAAAGTTTGGTTTGATTCACACCAGTACTGTTTAGGAGGCGGAATAAATCTTCCCACTAAGAGGAAGATAATTGGTAGCTTTCATCCCTGCATTGGAAATAATTATTCCAATCTGTGATGTTTCAATAGCAAGTGTGCTTTAGTGTGTTGGGGTTTGAATGATTTATGAGACAAAATGAAATGACACGATAATGACGGTCCTCTCCTGTCGCTTCACCTCATTGCATCTCTTTGTGTTTGCTGCGTTTATTTGCAGGGAAATATAAAGAGCAGTACCTGGCTGACTTTTAATGCTACAGATTGTGTGCCTTGCTGTTCTTGTGTTATGCACATAAGGATTTTTTTTACACCTATCCATCATGCAATGCCATCAGTAAGGCTTAAGAACAAAGAGTGCTGCAACAGATGGTCTGTTCCCCCCGCGGAGCCTTGATCTCAGCATCCTCGAGTTGGTGTGATTTGTATGCCAAGAGTCAGGTTGACATTGTTGCACTAAGAGATTTCAAGAAGTATAATTAGACATAACTAGCCACTGGAACTTGAACAAAGCCTGAGTACCAATAATAATAAAAAAAAAAAAGTAAAAAGTTTGCAGAAAAAGAAAGATGAAAAGATAAGAGCCAACACAATGCCGGACAAACCTGCAAGAAGAAAATGATCATTGTATCACAGTTTCAAGATGAATTTCCACACACACACCCACACCCACACACACACACAAAAAGATTCATCACCTAATCCCAGATGTGTCGCATAATAAGGTGATCATATGAGTGAGAAAAATGATAAAAGTAATGATAGAAAATTGCATGCTCCACCCTTTTCAGGTGGATTGGGTTGTTACTTACGTGCTTGAGAAGCAGAAAAAGAATCAAAAGAGATGAGAGATGCTGTCAGTGTTTTTTTTTGTTTTGTTTTTTTACGAAGCCTTCACAGTCATCATCTTTTGCAATGTGCAAGACATTTGAGTCTGTGCTCCTTCGGTAAAAATTAGCTGACAGCATCTGTTTGGTTGTGACTTCAGGGCTTTCAAAGATGTTCCACCTTCCACTTTCGAAAATGGAAATCGAGTGATGACCATAATGATACACAGAATTACTTTACATACTGTTTGCTAACGAGAGATTGTCATTGTAGCAACTCAGTACCTCAAACAAATTATAATCTGGTACTTTCTTTCTCTTGTTCAGGACATGGGCTGGTATGAAACTCTGATGGGAGGCTAACCTTCAGGGAAAATACCAGCCAACAGTGTTTTTTTAAGGAAATATTCAAACAAAAATGTACTTTTCGCTCATTGCTTTTCTTTAAGAAAAACAACAAAAAATTCCCATTGATGTTAAAATAATACAGAACAGCGATAAAGCACAAAAATAAAATAAAAAAGAGAAATAATATCTTCTAAATGTACTAGTAATTTTCCTTCCATTGTAATTCTGCTAATATTAGCTGCTTAAATGATCACACTGTCTTGGTTGGGTGTCTAGCCTGCAGTTAGCCACTTCACAGATATATTGATATACATATGGAGCTGCTTTATGCTCCACATAAACAAAGAAAACGTTGCTCACTCCAGCACTTTCCCAGGGCCTGGAGGGAGAACGCTGAAGAGCAGCTCATTGGTTCATGTAAAAACATAAATGGATGTACTTTTGGTTTTTAAATAAAGGTGTTCTACTATCACTGCAAATATCAATATGGGAAAATACTGATTACATAGCTGTTGTGTGATTTGCTGTATTTTTAGTATTCTTAGTTTGGAAGCAGAGATAAGATGAGAGAAAAAAAAGAGGTCAGGCTTTCCAAATAATAGTAAAGATTTTAAATCGGTGGCAGCTGAAACACCGGAATCAGCAGAGTGGTTTTAAAGTATTTTGTTGTTGTTGTTGTTGTTGTTTTGCACACAGTCCTAAAGCATTTAGACGTAAATATTTTATAGAGGAGTATAGTCAGTGTGGGCTTGGATTGGTTTCACGATTTATTAAGAATTTAAAAAGCTCCAATTTCAAAACCGCAAAAGTTTCTTAGGACATTACGATTAATAGGGGGTGATGAACGCAGCTGGCATTTTCTCCACATGGACGGAGCACATTGTAATGCAGGAGACTAAAAAAAGTCTGAAACATGACAAAGACACAGCCAAGTGTCCAAAAACATTCCAACTCACAAAAAGACACATACAGTGGTGTTCTGGAAATTGATATTTTTGTGATTTTTATTTTTTTTTCTACTGTTTTCTGACTATGAGCGTCATGTCTATTGAGCAGCTTACTGCAGGCTGGTTTGGAGCAGATAGCCTAATGAATTATGAGACAAATGGGATTGGGACTCTTATTTTCTCACAGTTCGATTCCAATTTTTGATTTTTGATTAAAACATATTAATCGTGGTTTTCTACTGTGTTTTTCAAAGGATCCTCATGTTCTGCTCCAGACTGCTTTGCAAGGCAGAATGATAAATGGAGACTTTAAAGCGTCACATTTATTAAGTTTTAAATATTAATCCATGGTTAGCTGGAATTACTATCGCCCTGCATCCTCCATTTACTTTTACGAAGTGGTAAAGAGAGAGTGCCCCACCTTTCTGCAGACAGCCTCCACTGTGGGCAACGGCATTGTAATTCCCATTCAGAAGGTTTGCAATTTTATAGTCAGTTAGTAAAATAATACATAACATATATGGTTTGCTGTTTGTATAAATGCTTTTAAACATTTTCAATTTAAATTTTTGTCTGAATACCACGGAACTGTGGTATCAAGGTTATATTTTTAGAATCTCATCCTGGCCGGTGAGTGTGGCAAACTTAATTTGGTGTTAGCTGCTTTTTTATCTGCAGTAGGCTTGTTATTTTACCAACATGTCGTTGACTCATTATAGGTCATTACCAGTGTTTATTTCAAAAGGCCATTCTCATAAAACGAGAAAGGTCCTTTGTTGACCAAACCACAGGCATCCATCTTTTGAAAAAGGAAAAGTTTAGGTTGCATGTTTGGATTTTCTCTCATTTGGAAGTCATCTACAACTGACTTACAGCCCACATAATGAGGTGGGAAGTGCTGTTACTACTCTAAAATAGCTGAAAATGATCCAGTCAATGCAACTCAATTTTAATAGCTTTGAAATCTTTTTCAAACTTTTAAAATCTTAAAATCAGAACCCCCCTGTCTTTCTACTTAGCTAACAGCAGACTGTAAGTACATTTCTCTTTGTCACTAAAACTAATGTACTCTCTTGTTTTTTCTGCCTCTTGCTGCTCCTTTTCTGACTCGCTTGGCGTCATCTCACAGTCCTTTACGTATCCCAGAGACTTGTCTCAAAGGATGTTTATAAGCTCTTAAACTTACAAACTTCCCCTTACTGTCACTGAGACTAATGTTTATACTTTCTGCTCAATTTTTCATATCTGAATCTAAACACAGAAAGTCTCCAGACTGTTGTGCACATGCTCATTCATGTGGCAGCCTCCGCTTGCAGACGTTCATGGGCCTGCATGCTCATGCAACGGCCAAACAGTGACTCGCAGACGGCTGTCACTCAGTCAAATAAATAGATGGTTTCTCAGCCATTTATTTGCTCTGGGCAGTTAATATGAGCCTTTTTCTAACAATTTGACTCCTACCTCTGACTTAAGCCATATCTCGACCCTCTACTTCCTGCCTGCGTGCGACCCCCTTAAAACACAATAAACCCTACAGCTCTCATGTTTCCTCGATACACGGTTTTCTGTGTTTTTGGCTCTAATCTCCCAGTTTAATGCCCAAATAATGAATTGTGTATTTTCTCACAGGAAAGCCAACAAACACTACTTCTTTATGTGTGATCAGTGTCAGACTTGTACTCAGTCTTGTTTCCACAACTTCTGGCCTCTGGAGGGCCCCTGTGGTGTTGCTCATCCTCCTACTCCAAACAACTCTTGTCCTATCAGCCCACACTCCTGAGAGAAGGGTGGAGAAGCTCTTTGCATATGTCTCAGTGTCAAACCTTTTGATTGCAGGTCTTCCCATCTGTTCTTGTATTTTTTTTCTTTTTTTTTTTTTTTTTAGTAGAAATATGCATAATTTTATTCAGGTCTTCATAAACAAATGCAGCCAACTCCAGGATGAAGCTCCTTTAGCTATTTTCTTCTTTTCTTTTATTTTTTATGGAAATCTTCAACTTGCATCGGAATAAAAAGATGGCAAAAATTCTCAAGCTTTTTTTTAAATTGATTTTTTGTTGTTTTCTGCAGCTTTCAGCAGAGCACCCATCCCGATGGCGGTGGTGAGAAGGGAGCTGTCCTGCGAGAGTTACCCCATCGAGCTACGTTGCCCGGGCACGGACGTCATCATGATCGAGAGCGCCAACTACGGCCGCACAGACGACAAAATCTGCGACGCAGACCCCGCGCAGATGGAGAACACGAGGTGTTATCTTCCAGATGCCTACAAGATCATGTCTCAAAGGTAATTGCACATGCAAATTAACTAATGTGCTAAACGTGGGAATGAAGCCATCAGCTAGCAGTGTTGCTTGCGGATTGTGGGATTAATGGTTAAGAATGCTAAAGTATGTCACTAAATAGTGAAACTTTTATAAGCATAGTTGCTTAACACATTAAAGAACTAGAATAAGCAAAATGTTTAGCAACAGACCACTTTGGCTGTTATTTTGCTCTCACTCAATGACCTGTCACTGATTGAGCAATAGCTAAACAGGAAAGTTAAGCGCTTTCTTTCTCTTGTATAAAAACACTAAAACGCTGTGTTGACACAAAGTAAAAGTAAGACAAAGAGGATTTAGATTAAGTGTGTATGCACACACTTCATTTTATTGTCATATGACTGTCACAACATAGCCAACAGGTTTAAAGTAATACAACAAGAAGTTAGGGTCCGGATTGCTGTCTTGATGCTAAACCTTTTTACCATTGTCTTTCCTTTTTTTATTTGTATATTGAGGGTGTTGTCTCACCTACCGTTATTTTGGTACAAATCATTTGATGAGTTCTACCAGTTCGCAATTTTTTCATAGAGAAAATTTCAAGCAGACAAAATGAATTGCTATGAACTATGCAAGAACATCCAGTCAGATATGTATGGGGCAAAATGTAAATATAGGAAGCTTTTTCCAAGCTTGTTGAAAACAAGTTCAGATCAAAATGTATTCACATTACCATCTTTCTGACTACTATTAATAGAAAAACTATACAAGTTACCAAATGGAAATAGGGCTTTATGCTTTCCAAAAATGATGTTAATCCCTTTTTTTTTTTACTCTTCTGTATCCCACATTTTAAGAAATTCCTGGCTATAGGTAGGTTTAACTTAAGAGTGTATAATAGCTGTGCAGTCAAGGTTGGAACACACTTATGAGTTTGACATATCTTGATTCTACAGGTCTGGTAGTAATCAGCTATGGAAACTAAACCTGGCTTTCTTAAAATGTGGTTAATCAAAGTAAATTCACTTTAGCAGTATTCTCTCACAAGGCTGTGTTGGTGTGGACAACATTTTCCTTAATAAATGGACAAATAAATGTATTTACTCAGGTTGTGTTTGTCTAAATGTTCACTGCCTGTGGATCATGTGTATGCTTACAATTAGTTCTTTCATTCAGTAATGCTCCGGCTCTTTGGTGTTCGCAGTAGAAATCAGGATAACAAACATGGTGATATTTGGGACTAATTCAGAACATGACCTTATGAGTGTGTGCGCACTTGTGCATAATTTGCTTTATGCTGCTCAGTAATCAACTTGAGTGTTTTTTCATGTAAAAAATATAGAAATATTTATGTAGAAAATAAGACCTGATTTTCTAAATTTCAATTAAATCTTTTTTTTTTTTTTTTTTTTTTTTTTTAAATAATGTTATTTCTGAAGAGAATGGAGGCTGCATATATTAATCCCACACCAGCATGGTTTTGGATGGATTCATTTGTCACATGGGAAAATAGCAATACAATCTCATGTTGTTATATGTTATGTGCATTCAACTTTCCTGACGTTTAATGAACAACTTCTTTTAACGAAAACCTCACTACTGTTAATCAGTTAGTTTTGACACGTATCAATAATCTTTAGCAGTTTGTCAAAAACAACTGAAGCTGTGTCCCCAGAATTACAAACCCTTTGAGTAAAAAGAACAAAAACTGACACCCAAACCTATTTATCTAAATAGCTACAGCCTAACTGTGTGATGGCCTTCACTGTGTAATTTATTGCTAACATTAGTGTAATACATATACTTGTTTTGTAGTTTTAACTAAGCTTGAATTTCAGAAAGTATTGCACTCCAGGGGGAGTGCGGATTGAGTGTACATTTAGTGTGCAGGAGCCATTTTGTTGACGTATGGCAACATTAAGAGCAGAATGAAAGCTCCATGCTGAGATCTTTCTAAGCATGGGTACTCATTCCTTTGAGGTCAAAGCACCCTTGAGCAATGCCAAGGGACAGGCTTTATCTAAATTGCTACTCTAAATTGACTTTTTCTAGCTCACTTTATTTCCAAAAGCTAAACATATGTCCATTTTCTTTTTATTTCCAGAGCTTTAGTTCCACTTTTGACTTGCCCCTTTGAGAAAAATACTAATGGACTTTTCGGCTTTATCAAACAATTGCTCTTTGGTTTTTAGTTTGGTTCCATAGAGTTCAGATAATCACCCATGTGAAAAGCAGCGGATAGTTAAAAGAGGTAGTTTGAAACAAGTTGTCACATAATTGATGCACCCTGTCGCTCCCTTTTTTCTCTCCCGGCTGCCCACTCACACTGAAAAATCCTGGCTGGAATGAATCAAAGGGTCCAAAGGGAACATAAAACACAGAGAAGAAGTCCGTCTTTTTAGCATTTTCATTGCTAGCAGGGGCGTTTAAAATGATGCTCAGAGATAAGTACAAGCCGATTCAGAGCCAGGGCACTTTTTCTTGGCGGAGGAAGTGACTAAGTGGATGAAGGGTGTGGGTGTTGTGAATTGAAAATGGATGAGGAAGACTAGTCGGGATCAGGTGAGAGGATTCAATGATATTTATGGCTGCGGTGACTCTACTACGCATTAGCATGTGAAGGTTAGCACAACAAATGAGCGCCACCTCCTTTGACCTTTTCACAGTCGGGCTGTCAAGGCCGTTGCTAGGCATCTCGGCTCATTAAGGTCAAAGAACAGAAACAAGTCGTTTAAACAGAGAAAGTAACTTTTTTATGTCAAAAAAATATTCCAAAGAATAGCTTCTCTTTCTACATTCAGCCTTCTTGCCGGTATTCTTCTGAATCACTGCAATGTTCACACATAGCCCTTGAATGTGTGCTGCAGCTGTAAAGAATACAAACAAACAGCACTAATGGAAAAAACATTATTGGAATGACAGATTTATACTTTTAGTGACTTTTCTATTTGACTTATCTATTGTTGGGTTGTTGTTGTTGGCTAGAGTTAGTTCAATTAATCAACAATGTACAACAAGTGTCAAAAAACATCAAAAATATGTTTGTGGTATGCATAGGCATTTGCTATAGTGTGACTGATGATATGTGCAGTGAGTTTGATTCATTTTATATTAAACTCTGTCTAGTAAATTGAGTATTTCCTCATTTTCTTTTTCACTTAATTAACAAAAGCGAGGCTCCTTCAACTGTGATCCAACATACTTTCCATCAGCATTTGTGTTGGAAATTTGTCTTTGCCATCTCATTTCATGGCCCCCAATGTTTGTGTGCACACCATAACAGTAAATTAGTGTGATGAAAGCATCAAAATGGTTCAAAGTAGTCTGATTTCCTCTTTATTGTGGTCTCTATATGTTTGTTTGATTAAAGTGCACAAGGATGTTCTGCAGACCATGTGAAACAAAGCCAAGATGGAAATCATCTGGATTTTACTTTGTTTCCAAGAATTTGAGTTAAAACTAACAATATGATGTACATTTTCAAAGATATATAAATAAATCAGCCAGTCTATGCACTGTGCCTGATAAGGATTTAAGACATTTGTACTGAACATTGCGCTCAACTGAAAAATAAGCCTCTTTTTGCACTTATCTGCTCACAGACATGCCAGTACAGCGCAGTAGATTATCAGTGCCCAGGGCTGCCCTCTTCATCTGCAGTGGTGATGGACACTGTTCAAATTTCAAACAGTCAGAGTGATGCAGTCTGTGAGGAATCCTGCAAATATAAATGTTTTTTTTTTAAAGAATTGTAATCACTTGAGCTGTAGCTGCAGAGCTCAGAAACTGCAGGGGCCAACGCTTTCACAGCGGGGTGGTGACAAGGCCATCCACAAAGAGTACTCTGACTCACTTGAAGCCAACTTGAGTTTTTTCTTCCACAAGCCAAGTTCTATTTCTATTCTACATAATATTTATAATGTGCATGAAGCACACTAAACTTCTTAACTGCAGATCAGAGAGTTTCCTCCATTGTCCCCAGAGGTGAAAACTTAACTATTTTCAAATTCTTGCATGTTGTCTGACCATAGCACAGTTAATGACAATTGCCATTTGTAGCTAAGATGCTAATGTTATCTTTTTAAGATTTAAGCTGCTGTTACCCTTTCATCACAGCTCCTGTCAGATTATACTTTCATCAGCACACTTTACACGTCGTAATGAACTGGAAGGTCTCGTTCCAGTTGAAGTCAACTCATCAATCTGACGCTCCTGATCAAACTCGGGAGGAAGTCAAAAACCCATGACCACCGTGAACTTTAAAGGGTACAATGTAGTTGCAGCATAACAGTGACTTAGGGATGTGAGTTAAAGTAAAGACAGTAGCAGTATACTCTGTGGAAATCCACAGGAAGGAGACACAGGATCCTCCACTGTGAAATATGTTGATAAGTTGAACTTGATGTAGTCAATAACATTGTTTGGGATGGCAGAGAGCATTACTTGGATTTAAATTTCTGAATTTACTTTGACATGATCGTGACACAGGTGGTATAACTTTTTTTTGTTGTTGTTGTTGCATGCATCAAATAGCAGTGACATCAAAAATCACTTTTAGCTCTCCTTTTGTTTCTCACACCTAGTCCTCGTAGCTGATGCTACGTACATTTCTGTTGAGACCCTATTAGCTGCATACTTTCAAATAAAATTCTGTAATACCTCCTTGGAAAACACTCTATACACTATTGAAAAAATCAAAAAAGGCACTTTTTTCCAAAGAGGGAAAAGGGCAGGTGCTCTAGCAACACCTAGAGTTTATCTGTGCATGTCCTTTGCCACACTCACAGCTTGAACTACAATAGTATGGTTTTGATAAAAGAATATTCATGTTTCAGTGGCCCAGTCAAAGACCTGAAGAGAAATGAGGATCTGTGGTGAGACCTAAAATCTGATGTCCCACAGATTGTTATTCTCCATTCAGTCTAGTAGGGACAGTTACTTTGCAAACAAGAAAGTGCAAAGCCTGTGAAGACATCCACAGCAACAGTAGCAAAAGGTGTTTCTACAAAATCTATACTTAGTA